CCCCCGCCCCTGCACCGTCACCACCACTGCCACTCACCACCTTCACACATAGAGCTACTCGCGGTCCCGGTCGATCTCGCCTGGAGGTGACTCCCGGTCACGTTCTCCATCTCCTCCCCGCTCTCGGCCTAGGTCTCCAACTCCGTCTCGCTCGCGGTCGCGGTCACCATCGCTCTCGCGCTCGTGCTCGTTGTCTCGGTCTCGGTCTCGGTCACGGTCACGGTCACGCTCGCCCTCGCGCTCGCGGTCGTACTCGAGGTCGGTCTCCCCGCCACGGAGAGCAAGGACCTACTCGCGGGGAGTGGTCGATGGAGAGGTGCCCGATGTAGAGATCGAGGTCCAGGTGGCCAAGTCGAAGGAGAAGGGTGCCAAGGGCGCTGGCGCCTTCACCACCTATGCCGTCTCGACCAAGACGACCGAGGATGTGTTTGCAGGCACCTCGTTCACCGTCGTCCGCCGCTACCGTGACTTCCTCTGGCTTCAGTCCGAGCTCCTCGATCGCTACCCGGGCGTCATCATCCCGCCGCTGCCCGAGAAGCGCGAGTACAACAAGTTTGACGCCTTCTTCCTTCAGTACCGCCGCCGCGGCCTGCAGAAGTTCCTGAGGACCATTGCTGCTCACCCGCGCCTGGCCCGCTCCTCGGTCACCATCGAGTTCCTCGAGTCCGAAACCCCGCTGCCGAGCTCCAAGAACCTCGCCCGCGACATCTTCTCCAAGGTGACCTCGTTCTCCATGGCCCGCCTCCACGCCGCCAACCTGCAGGAGAACGACGAGTTCTCCATGGCTCAGGACCAGCTCGACCACCTCTCCGCAGGCCTCAAGGCCACCGCTTCCGGCCTCAAGGCCCAGGCTCGCGTCTTTGTCGACATTGCCGACGTCCTCGACGGCTTCTCCGACGAAGCTACCGGCCTCGCCGAGCTCTCGCAGCCGCCGCTCGCCCAGTGGATCACCGCCACCGGCGACGGCATGTACCGCGTCTCGCTCATCGACCGCGAGCTCTCCACTTCCGTCTTTGAGACCTTTGGCGCCACCCTCGGTGAGTACGTTCGCGGCTCATACCTCGCTCGCGCTGCCCTCGTCGCCCGCGCCGAGGCATACATCAAGTGGCAGGACACTGTCGCCGCGGGCGACGCAAAGCGCGCCGCTCTCGACAAGGCCCGCGAAAAGCCTGGCAAGGAGTCTGCCGTCGCAAAGCTCGAGTCCAAGATCGACGCCCTCGACGACAAGGCCCGCGAGTACCAGATGGCCTTTGACGAGATCACCGCCGGCCTCCAGGCCGAGCTCACCCGCTTCCACGCCCGCCGTGAAGTCGACCTGCAGCACGCCCTCGTTGCCCTCACACAGGACTCCATCACTTCGCACCAGAAGCGCCGCGCCATCTTTGGCTCTATCCTCCGCTCCCTCCAGGACGACAACCCCGAGCCGTAAACGCGACCACGTCCCTCCCAGTCTTCCACGCGCATCACTCGATTTACTGCTGGAGCAACCGCGGCGACGCCGCCTCCTCGCTCAGCGCCTCCCCCGCCTCGCTAGCCTCGTACCGCCACGGGCTCGCCACCACCACGGCAAGCGGCGTGCAGATGGCATCACCGAAACCCTCGCTCCCGCTCGTCGCCGGCACCATCCGCATTCCGCTTGCCGACGCCGTCACCGCCGCGCTCAGCGCAGCTACCCGCCGCTGGACCCCGACAGGGAGTCGGCCCCGCGCAGCCACCCGCGCCAGCATCGCCGGCACCCCAAACAGCCGCATGTTGGTCGCCGCCGCCTCAAACCGCACCACGGCCTCCAGCACAGCCACCTTGACGCCCAGACCCACCGCGTCGGCTACAGCCTCAAGCCGTGGCACAATCAGCGATGTTGCCGCCACTGCAACGTACGCCGCCTCGCCATCATCAGCGAGGCCCTCGGCCACCGCAAGTAGCCGCACGTCCACGCTCCGCTCCGCCATCCACAGCCCGCTTTCCCGTGCCGCGTGCGAAAGCTGTACACAAAGCTCAAACTCGCCCAACGTGTCTCGCTCCGGAAACAGGCTTGCCACGTACTGCGCCATCACTCCGGCATGGCTCGCGATGCTTGCCCCGACGCTGGCCACCTGCGCCCGCACATCGCACGAGCAGAACATCTCGTCCAGGACTCGGCACGCACGGCCCTCGCTCCGCCCACTCAAGTGCGCCTCGAGCTTGAAGAGTGTCTTTGCCCGCGCTAGCACCTCGAGGGCTCCGCCGATGCAGCTGCTGCGCTGTAGGCTACACGCCTGCGACGCAGCCCGGGCCACAGCCAACACCGATTCCCACACACCCTGCTCGGTAAACAGCTCCTCGCCGCACACCGCTGCCCTAAAGCACGCATCAAGCATCGCACGCGAGACGCTGAGCCCGGTCGAGCTCGCGCCATCGTAGGCGTCAAAGAGTCCGGCGTGCCAAACCAGCGGCACCACAAGCGACGCCGCGCTCCGCGCCGGTGCCGCCTCAAAAACCTCGCGGATCATGTCCACGGTTCCGCTCACGCTTGCCTCTGCAACCTCGACCGCCACGAGCACACCTGCTGGATTGCCCTTGGTCTTCAGGAGCCACATCGCAGTCGCCGCCATCTCCTGCCGCGTCCGCCTCGCCACCCGCGCCGCCACATCGACGGCCAGCCGAAACACGGCGTCGCACGCCAGCAACCACACCAGTGCCGGCCGGCCGGCCTCGCACTGACTAAGCACGTTGACAACTCGTGCCACACTCTCGACCTCGCCCGCCCGCATCAAGACCCGAAGCTCTGGTGGGCTCGGCACAAACTCGTCTGCAGCACATGGATCCGCCGCAAGGACCAGCGCCAGCCGCGCCACAAGCCCGCCCGCTTTGCTGCTCGCCGCGATGACCCACGGCGGATGCCGGAGCGTGCCCACCAGCCGTGCCAGCGCCGCCGCCGACCCGAGGCATGCACACAGCTCGTCGCGCAAAACCTGGATCATTCTCGCCAGCCACACCACGCACTCGCTGCTGAGCTCGACCGTGGGGTGCGTCGCGCACGGCAGCGCCCAGCCCGGTGCCCGGAGCAAGAGGCCAAGCACAGCCTGCAACCGCGGTCCGAGCCGCGTGCCTGCGCACGACACACCCGCCAGGCATCCGCTGCACTCAAGCGGCTCTAGAAGATGTGCCGCGCCGACAGGCAGTGCACCCACCACGTCGCGGAGCTTGGTGACTACCGCGCCCCCGGTCTCAACCGAAGAATTGGCAGCCAGCACAAGTACACAGCCGCGGGCGCCGTCGCCGCTGGCCGATGCCTGCACCACAATCGTCGCCAGTCCATGCACAAACTCGGCCACCGTGCTCGGCGCAAGCGACTCGAGCACAAGCTCGATCACCGGCCTAACAACCAGGGCTGGGAGAACAAGATCATTCAGAAGCCGGCCGACAGCAAGAGAGCTCGACGCCGAGCTCAATGCGGCGGCGGCAGCAAGTGCCACCAGCTCCGCCACAACTTGGACGTCAATCTTCAGCCGCACGAGCGCCTCGATGAGATGCGCCCAGCTGAGAACAAGCTCCGCGCCCACCTCAATCAGCGCTTCACCGGCGCACTTCGCTATGCTTTGCCACAAGCCCAGTGCCGCAAGCAGGCCGTCGCGTGACTCGTGGGCAAGCGCAGAAAGCCCATCAACGAGAGCAGCCACCACACGCCCACTCCTTTCGCACACCGCCGTGCTCACCACTTCTCCGAGCTGCGCCGCCATTTCTTCCACAAGCCCAAGCACAGCTTGCACCGCATCGTCGTCGAGACGCAACCCGCGACTGACACGCGACGACACCACTGACATGCACGCATGCAGCAGCTGCGGGACCTGAGACACCACCGCGCGGCTCGCTACGAGCCGGGTCAGCATCGTCGCCGCCACCGCTGGCGCGCCGCGCCGTTGGGCAACAAGTCCCGAAACGAGGCTTTGCGCGTCAAAGACCTCGTCCGCAAGCGCGTCCACAAAGCCCACATATCTAGGCCCAGCTCTGCCGGCATCCTCTCGCGAGAGCGCCGCCTCAATCCACGCCTCCATCCATGCCGTCGCCGCACGCTCCACCCCGCGGCCCCAGTCACCAGCCGACACGGTTGCGCACACCGCGCCAACAAGCTCCTGGCCCGCACCACTGCATCCTGCCGGTACCAGCCGGCGGCTCGCCTCGAGCATCCGCGCTAGGCACTTGCTTGCCCTCGCCCGATTGCCGGGCGTGCAATCAACCACTGCAAGCGGAACCAGCAGCTCTAGCAGGACCTCGTGGAGCCAGGCGCATCCATCGCCGCATTTGCCCAACTCGGCTTCTTCTCCCAGCACGCTGTCGAGCACCGCATCGAGCCCGGCGTCGAGCTCGCCGTGAGCCCATGCTGCGGCCAGTGCACCAAACCCGATCCCGCCGCCGGCCGCAAGCTCCAGCCCGCGCGCGACAGGCGCCCACAACCGCAACCCACGGCCGAGGACCCACAGTGCACTTGCAGCCGCCAGCACGCCAGCATCTGCCCAACCGTCAGCCACCTGGGTCACAACCGCGTCGAGCCAGCCAGCACCGCCTGGGGCCAACGTACGCGCAGCCGCCACCGCCAGGCCCTGCGTGCTCAGCCCGGCGACCAGAGCGCCCGCAGTCGCGTCCACGAGTGCCAACTCCAGCCCAGGCTGTCGTCCATTGCTTGCCGCCTCGCACACGGCCGAGAGGCCTTCTGCGCATAGCCAGCTCAGCCCATGCCCAGCCACAGACAAGTCTGCTTCGTCCTGCCGCGCAGTGGCGAGATCGCGATCGGCGCGGCTTTGATCGCCACGACCTTTTCCTGGACCCAGCGCCGCCACCACCGCCTCCAGGCAGCACTCGTAGCACGCTCGCGACGACCCGCCACGAAGCCATGGAGCGTGGCTGGGGTTGAAGCACGGTTCGTGGAGCCAGCCAAGGTGTGGTCCGCTCGCGATGCCGCTGCTCAAGGTCATGTCAGGAGCTCGCGCCACAACCCGGCCCGGCCGTGGCCACAGCGCGCTCATCAGCGACAGGTACGCCGTCACGCCGCAGGTTGGAACAGACTGGACCCGATTGGCAATCATTCAATGAATGCAGGCGGCCGCTGGATCAGATCGTCCAAGCCTGTACACTGGGCTACACGCTTGTCGCCAGCGCAGGGCATGGAGTACTTCCGCGGGATGTGGGCCAACGAGGCCGGAGAAGGCCAGCAGGCTTCACACGGACGGATGGATGGCTACCGGCCACATGCAAGCCAGCACCACGAGCGCGCAATGCGTGGGCATGACCGCGAGCGCCATGACAGCGTTCCGCGATCGCATCGTGCCTCCCAGAACCAGCTTCTCCTCGCTGGGCCAGCATCGATGGACCCGTACCCCCAGCCGCCGCCGCGGAGGCTCGGCACCCACCATCTGCGCATCACAGGGCCGCATCCGCACCGCGCTGGTAAGCTTCCTTGTACCTGGTCCTGCCTTGTCCATGCCCATGCCCCCTCCCCCCTTCGCACTCACCACAGAGCCGCGCCGCTTGGACTCTACGACCTTTTTCCGCTACGCGGTTGATCGCGCGGTTGATCAACCCATTTTTCGCCGCGACGCGACGTCGTGCGCGCCCTCTCGACGCAGGTCCCAGCAACGACCACCTCGCCGAGGCCGAGCCGCTGCGCAAGCTGCGGAGCGGCGTAACGGGTCACGGTGTTGGCGGCGCGCTCTCAGCTGAGCTTCTCTCAGCCGCTGCGCACATGCAGGCCGAGGCACGCGAGCAGCGGATGCGGATGGACAACTGGCGGCGCAAGTTCAAGGAGCTAGAAACCGAGGCGCGCGAGGCCAAGGACGCGCACGCCGAGCTAAGTCTCTCGTACCGGTCGATTGTTGCCCAGCTGGAAGAGGTCTCGACTCAGAGTGAGACCCAGGACCGCCGCCTCTCGGCGCTGCTCCTCCAGATGGACGCGTACCAGGCCAAGATCGGTGCGCTTGAGCAGGCAGTGGGGCGCGCCGGCAAGTTCAAGAACGAGGTCTTGGTCCAGCTTCGCGATCTTGAGACCGACAACACCGACCAAGAGCTGCAGATCGAGGCTCTCGTCGCCGAAATCACCTCGCTCAAAGTTGCTGCTCGCTCCGCTGCCGCAAAGACTGCTGCCGCCGACGCGCGCGTCGGCTCGCTCACCCACAAGCTGCAGACCGCATCCGCCGCCGCAGACCGCGCAGACGCCCGGGCCAAGGCCGCCGCAGACGACATCGCCGCCCTTCGCGCCTCGCTTGCCGAGACCAAGCTCCAGCTCGGCCACGCCCGCAGCGAAAACGAGCTTCTGCGCGAGAAGAACAAGCTCCAGCTCGCCCAGCTTGCCGCAGAGCGCGAGCGCGCCGAGCTCCGCGAGCGCGAGCATGCTCGCGCCGCTTCGCTTCTCCACGTCTCGCCCACCCGCACCCAGCATCTCGCCACCGCCGCGCTCGTCCCACCACGTCCAAGACACAAGCGCAAGCACAAGCACAAGCACAAGCACAGGCACAATCGCAAGGGCAAGCCGGTGGCCACGCGAGTCAGCCCATCGTACGCCGCGCCCTGCGACAGCAGCAGCGGCTCGGCCTCGGCCCCCGCCTCGGCACACGACTCGGGGCATGATTCAGCCTCAAACCCGCCGCTCAAGCCGGCACCAGAGCCCAAGCCCGAGCCTGAGCCCCAGCTCGCAACCAGGCCGCATCGAGACCCTTCCATCCGGGCCTCGCTCTCACTCTCGCTCTCGCCATCGCCACCGCTGTCGAGCAAGTCATCGCAGCCACCGCAGCAGCCGTCGCGCGCAAACGACATCCCGGTCTGGCAGCGACGGGCCCAGGAGCAGCGACAGAATCGCGCTCCGCCAAACCCGGCGGTCGTCACTGCGCGCACCTACTCGCGCCGCGGCCGCCGCAAACGCATGGGCTCGTCGCCGGTCGCCAAACTCCATGCCTGCTCCCCGTCGGCACTCAAGCGCCAGCGCAACCTTGCCGCCGGCAAGCGCGACGTCTCGCTCTTTGACGAGCCGCAGACAGAGGCCAACGCCGACCCGTTTGCCTTTCGCTCCGGCTCGGACCCCTGACGCTTTTGCCTACCTGGACCACACTCTTTTCTGCACCCGCACAAACACTGCCGCCTTCGCCTCGCGCTTTTCAGCTTCACTCCTGTGCATTGACCAGCCTCGTTCCCACCAAAAACCGCTCCCGGTGCAGATCCTCGCGCATCTGCACAAGCCACTGCCAGCCGTAGCGCGCGGCGCAGCTTGCGACGGCTGCTGCAACCACGCAGCCGTGGCCGTAGAGAAGGATACTCTCGCTCAACCCTGGCCCGGCAACCAGCGCAGCCGCGTAAGGCAGCGCCAGGAAGAGCACCTCGAGCAGGGCGACAGGGGCGACTAAGTACCGTAGCGCGCGCCCCAGTGGCGGCGTGCCGAGGCTCTCATCGATCTCGCGCAGAATCCAGCCAAACGGGAGCCAGGGTGTCGGCCCAGGGACAGACGCCGCAATCCGCGCTGCACCAGTCGAGACCAAAAGCCCGCCAGCCAGGTCAAAGAAGGACAGCGGTGCCACAACCGGAGTCTGTCCCTCGCCTACCACCAGCGGGAAGACGACCACGTGCTGGAGCACTAGGCCGGTGAGCGGCGCCACCAACCCGCACCACGCTGCCACAAGCACCGTCAGCTTGGCAGCGCCGGCCAGTCGGTGCCACGAAATCGCAGCAGCGAGTCGCGGCAGCTCCTGCACGCCACGTGCGCCAAGCAGCATCGCTGCGCCGCCGAGGTACACCGCATGTGCGCCAGACTCCATCGAGAACCCGAGGCCGAGCGCGATGATGTAGCCCATGAGGTACGGAAGGAGGAGCCCAGCCGTAGCCACAGCCACACACGCCGCCCACAGTAGCGCCAGCAGCGATCCGACCTGCAAAAAAATACCAGGCTTTGCGTCTCGCCGCGCTCCAGCCGCTCCGCTTGCTCGGCCTCATTCTCGCCGTCGGCTTCGTCGTCAAACAGGTACCACGCAAGTCCGGTCGGCCGCGCCGCCATCTGGAACAATCCACGCAGCAGCGAGTCGAGGCCAGTCTGGACTTGCGGCACGAGAGCAAAGATGACGGGGACCAGTGCATGCAGGAGGAGGACATTAACCAAAGTCTGCATCGGCGGCGCAGTCGTAGACGTCGCTGGAAGCGCGAGCGCCCTGGTCACGCGCCGCGCAAGGTAGACCGGCACGCCCACTACGCATCCAATATGCAGCACATAGAGCACAACCGAGAGAAGAATCCGCCGGACAAGCCGAAGCATCGGAATCTCCAACATCTCGCGAAAGGGCTGGAACTCGGGATCATCCGGATCACGGAGGAACCACAGGACTCCGCGTCGGAGCACACGCCGGAGCCGCTGGACAAGAAGCGAGAGCAGAATCATGTAGCCCATGCCAAACGACCAGTGCAGCACCGCCGATGCTATCGGGGCTTCGCGCGCAAACGCCTTTCGCGACGATAGAGTCGTTCCCTCAATCGCCAGCGGGAGCGAGGCAAGATCGACCAGCCAGCCCGTCACAAACGGAAAAGCAACGAGCTCGGTGAGGGTGCACACCACAAGCCGCACGTACTGCCAGCTCATCCACACCACGCTACACGGCAAGTCAAACATCCGCGCCCGCCGCCCAAGCAGCATCCGCGTCGCCCACATTGCACTCGCCACCACGGCAAGCATGCCGTAGCCCAGCACAAGCTTGCGCCGCACAGACGCCGGGCCGGCTGCAGGAAACTGTGCGTGGAACACGCCGCCCACAATGAGCGGTGCAGAGAGGCCGACTGCTGTCACCCCCACAAACACCAGGCCAATGGTAAAGACGTTCTCCGCGAGCGCGGTCCAGTCGCCATCGAGGCCCACAATCTCGCGGAATCCGAGATTGCCCTCGCCCAGCCCGAGCTCGTCGTCATCCAGGAACTCGCCGAGCTCGTCGTGGTGAACGTCCAACGCGTCGCCTGGGGCGCCGAGCGCCCCGTCGCCTCGGGCGCCAAAACCGAGGTCGGCGTCGAGGCCTAGGCCGTCCAGCACCACGTTGCCGTCGTGACCATCGTGGCCGTTGCGCCCACCACCGTTCTCGGCGCCGCCAAAGCCCCAGACAAGCCGTCCATCGTCAGCGGCTGCAGCGTGACCATCGCCGTCGCCGCCACCATCACCTTCACCATCACCTTCAGCATCGACGCCATCATTGAGCTCTACTGGTTCTGCACCCGCTGCTGGACCAGGATCCGCACCATCCGCAGTCTCGGCCTCGACCTCACCCTCGTCCTCGGCCTCGCCCTCAACCTCAGCCCTTGGGCCATACAGCGAGGCGTAGTCAAGGCCTTGACTCGCAACATACTCGGTTGCCACCACGATCGAGAGTAGAATGCCCAAGATGCCGACACAGGCGACAGTGCCGACCAGCGCTTGCGACAGAGTCGATGCCGCCAGCCAAAGCAGCGAGCTGTCTCGGCCTTGGGCCACGTCGGCTGCCGCCCACTCTACCAGCGGCGGCAAGGCGGCGGGCGCATGGTCTATCTCGCGCAGAGGCGCGAGCATAGCCTCGGTCATCAATGTCGGCAGGCCGTCGATCGGCGGCCGCAGCGAGAACAGACTCGACCACGGCATGGCACCGATCTGGACCAGGATGCTTCGAGCGACGACAAGCGGTACAACCACAAACCAGGCCAGGACCACGGCACCAATGCGTGCCGCGTTGGACGCTGCACCCATGCTGCGAGCCACAAGGCCAGCCATGACGGCCGACCACGGAAGGGTAGGCGGCGCAGCAGCATCAAAGATGGGCTGAAAGGCAAAGGCATGGCCACATACCTCGCACGACTCTGCGTGAGAGACATTGAGCCACTGCTCGAGACACTCTTGATGAATGTACCGCATGGATCCAGCACACTGACACGGAGCAAACAAGTCGCCATCCCCAACCCTACACACCCTGCAGACGGGACCTTCATCCGACTCTGACGACCAGCCATCGGAAGCAACAGGAGCCACAGCCGCGCCCGGCTCGACTACACGCTGGTCCGAGCTGGTGCTGTCCACGCCATGGACTTCCCCATCAGCCTGTGAGCTTGGTCCTCCTGCCTCCCGGCCATCCGCCTCGGACTCCGTCTCCATCTCGGTCTCCGTCTCCGTCTTTGCCTTTGCCTCCGTCTCTACCTCCGTCTCCGTCTCCGTCTCTACCTCCGTCTCTGCCTCGGTCGTCGCCTTGGCCTTACTCGCTCCGCCCGTCCACATCTCCAGGTCAAAGCCGGGTGGAAGGTCAGGTCGCACAGCCGGCAGCAATACAGGTCGTAGCGCAGCTACCCCAGGCACAGCCACCAGCACCTCCTCTCCCTCCATCCCTGTATTCTTCTTTGCTTGGCAATCTCCTTTGAGACGTGTCAGACGCCACACGCTCTTCCTCTTCCCTGTCCTTCTTCTTGCTCGCGCCATTGTCCTTCTCACTCCTCCGACTCGCCGCCAACTCGCTGCCGACTCACTCGACCGAACGCTCACGCTCGGATCGCCCCCGCCCGACCGCGCTTGACGGCCACATGGCAAAGGATTCATGGATGAGCTATTTTACGCTGACTTTGAAGGATGATCGGTGCTGAGGTACAATTGCTGGGAAAGGAGAGTGTGAAAGATGTTGGGATCGTGGACTATGCCTCGTCGTCGGCAAATCGCTTCCGACAATCGCCACCTCGACGATCGATGGCAATACGCGTACGGTTCGTTGCATGGATGAGCTGCTTTAAGCTGACGATGAAAGGGAATCGGTGCCTGGCCGTGCCTGCCGAGAACGGATGGTGTTGGAAGGTGTAAGTATCGCGGGCTATGTGGACGTGGCGCTGGGTTTGACGAGGTGGATGAGGTCATGGAAAGGAGACTCCCAAGCGGCGAGGTCAGCGACGAGCTGATGGACACAAAAAGGTGTGGAGGGATGGAAGCAATCGCAGACTTCCGTGGACTTACAATTGGTCGGAAAGTCGGTGTGGTACAGTCATGGATGCCCTACGTCCCGAGTCGGAGCTGCAGCAAGACGATGAGGATGTCCATGTTGTGATCGGCGATGCGCTCGCGCAGCGCGACGATGACGGCGAGCCACCGACACCGCCGCCACCACAGCCATCATCATCACCAGAGCAGGTACCACAGCCCCCGCACGCCGCTGTTAACTGGCCAGCAATATTTGCCACCGCACTACTCTCTGGCCTAGCAATGGGAACGTTGGGGTGCGAGAGGAGTCTCGCTGACGATGTGGCACTTGTCCTCGGCCTGGGCGATGAAGTCCTCGTAGTGCCAGCCATGCTCACGATGACATGGGCGGTGGTGCTGGGTATACAGCCGCAGGCAGACTTGTCGTCGGCAATTTTGACACTTCTAGTGGCAACCAGCTGGTGGAGTGCCTCTGCCATGCACGTCATCTTTACCTACGGTTGCATCTTTGCGCGGGCGGCGCAGACGACAGACGTCGGTGAGACGTTGGTCTCTGCTGCGCGGACGGCCGTTGAAGGCCCGCTTCGGGCTGCACTTGAATGGGCTGCTGGCCTGCGGCGCAGTCTTGCGATCGCCACTGGATCGGAAGAGTCGTCGATGGTGATGATGGTCCATGGCGCTGCCATGGCCGCTGCCGCAAGCGCTGTTGCCGCCGCGCTCTGCGGCGTGCTGCAGAACGCCAATCCGGTGTTTGCAGCCCTGGTTGCCAAGCTCATCGCGTCAGTAGAGGTCATCTGGGACGTAATGGCATGGATTCCAGGCGTGGGGCGTGCCGTGGTCTGGGCAGGACTCGCGTCTGTGCTTGCCTTTCCGGTGCGCGCGGCGTGCGAGTCGATGCTGGCGATCGACGAGGACGACGACGCGGTTAGCAGCGATAACGCTGATCCACACAGCCTTCGGCATCGGCTCGGGGCTGCAACTCTCGCGGCAGCTGTTGTGGTTATAGCCGTATTTGTGGCGTCCGACGTTGCCGTCTGCGTGCCGCTCTTTGCGCTCGGCGTGGCGCCGCCGGCGTGGACCCTTGGGCTTCCCGACGACGCGGCTATGTCCGGGCGCGCGCTTGACGCTGCCATCGGGACGTTTTCGGGCATCACCAAGCACGCCGCAGTTTGGCTGGTTGTGGCGCTGGTGATGACGGCGTCACTCACGCTCGCAGTCTTCTCACAACGGCTTGGTCTCGATCGCGAGCATCCGACGCTGCGCCGACTCGGCCTGGCGCTGGCGAGTGGATGCGGCACCATGGGCTGTTTTGCGTTGTGGCGACTGATCGAATACATTCGATTCAACGGATGCACGCTGCCCAAGATCTTTGGCTTTGTGGGTGTCGTGGCCGTGCTTGCCGGCTGCGGCGCAGTGGCGTACAAGATCCGGGCACACAAGACAAACCTGTGGCTGTGGCGGCGACTGATGCGCATCGGGCTAGCAGCCATTGCAATCCTCCTCATTGCGCCCATCGACTCGACAGCCATCAGTGTTAGCGTTGTGCTTGTCGAGCGTGGCGAGCTGGCGGCGGCGGAGCAGATCCATGCCCAGCGATGGCATGTCGCCGGTCTGCCCAACCTCCTCCCACTTCTCGACCACGCCGACGCTCGGATCGCCGCCGGCACTGCTGCCGTTCTCAATGCTGCGCAGCCAAAACTAGCAGCTATTCAGGACACACCGATATTCCCCCTCTCGTCCAGTCCGCTCCTCGGAGCGCGCTTTGCCGCCTACACCCTCAACACCTCACACGTCCACGCCGCCATCGCTCGTGCGCTCGAAGGAACTACCGCACCAGCGGCGCTCGATCAGCTCCGGGCCATCACCCGCGAGTGGGGATGGCCCGGCACCATCTCCCGTTGGCTGGAAGCGCAGCAAGCCTAGCTCTGCGTGCATCATCAAATCCTCTCGGGTCTCGCTCATCAGCCCACCAGTCCACGAGCCCAGCCTACGAGCTCACCAACCCAAAACTCTCAACCTGTTCGTCCGTTCGTCCGATCGTCCGATAACACCACCACATCCATCCGATCACATCATCATGTCACAATATGCCGCGCCAGGAACCGCGCTCACCCCGCCGTGCCTCTCCGCCCGTCAGCCCGTCTGCCTTGCCTGGCAGCCGCTGGAACGCTACCCGCCAGCCACAGCCGCAACCACCGCCACAGCCGTAGACACGGCCACGGCCACCTCACTCAGTATGAGTGGATCAAGACACAACCGACGCAGCGGCCGTAGAGCGTCTAACACGGGACGTCTACTGCGTGACATGTCGAGCAGTACCTCGGGTGTCGCGCCTGGCAGCAGTGGCCGTGGCAGTGGGCGAGGGCCTGGTGGCAGAGGCCGCGGCAGTCGACGAGGGTCTGGTGGTCGACGGGAAAGGGTGTCATCGTCATCGTCATCGGTACCAGTCTCATCATCTAGTGCTTCCTCTGTCACTTTGTCGTCACCAATCTCATCGTCATCGGCATCCGCGTCATCAGCGTCATCAGCGTCATCAGCGTCATCATCGACACACTCTGCCCGCTCGAAGAGAGCAAGCGGTCGGCTGGCCATTCCTGCCGAGGAGCTGGCAGAGCTGAGACAGCTGCCAGCAGAGGAAGACCTACAAGCCACCTTTGACTCGCTGCATGTGCTGCCTGTGGTGCCTGGAGGCATGTCTTCGACGCCTGTGATGGCCATGCGTGTCACGCCGCGGTTGCGCTCATCGGATGATGATCTGCCTCCGCGGCTGTTGGTGCTGGACGAGGATCCGCCCGAGACTGGCCCGGCCCGCCCACTTGCTATCAAGCCCCACGTGTACGTCGTCGATGCTGCTGCACACATGGAGGTCTACCACTCGAACCACTCGTACTCGGAGGACGCAGATGCGTTTGATCCTCGCCCCGGGGCCGCGCTGGCGAATGATGTCTTGCCAGCGTCCGGGGCAGTGGCGGATGCCAGTGTACAGCTCGCTGCGTCCATTGCGCCGCGAATGGCGCGTGCAACAGCCTTGGGTGGGGCGCTGCTCATTGCTGGCGCTCTGGTTGTGGCGACGGCTGCACTTGCGGTGGGCTGTCCGACGTCGCGGCTGCTAGTTGCTGCCAGCTCGATGGCGGCGCTCCAGGCGCTGCCGGGTGGGTGGGATGCGCCTGGTGGCGCGCTGGTCATTGGCGGCGTCCTGGTGGCTGTTGGCAGCTGGCTTGTGGTGTTTGCCGGTGCGTTGCCGGCGAGTCTGGCGGGACGGGCGGCGAAAACGACAGGGCGAAGCGAGCGGGCGCCGATTGCGCTGTACGCCACAGCGGTGACGCCTGTCGAGGAGCGTGGGTGGCGAGCGTGGATGGCCCGGAGTGTGGCACGGGTGTGGTATGGTCGACTGGCAATGTCGCGCTTGGCGTCACAGGTTGTCGCCTGGAGCCGCAACCCGTCATGGCCCGAGTCGGCCATCATCGACGTCCGCGAGCACCCGGCCACTGTTCTCGTCCGGGCGTTTGATCCGGCCGGCGACGACTGGTTGGTAGCGTCGGCAGTCGTCATGCCCAGCTCGGCCGCGGGAGAGGTGGTCGAGCTCCCGCTGAGCCTCGCCCCGATTGCGCCGGCTAACACTGCGCCGGCGTGGATGGTGCTCCGTGCCGGGGCAGTGCCTGGCACATACGTGTTGCGGTCGCTCCGCAACCTTCCGTGGTTGCCAACGCCGCTTGCGAGTGCCCGGCGAGCCTCAGTTGCATGGCGCGAGCTGGCGTTGGCCATGACTGCCGCTGGTTCCGTTGCACTGGTTGTCGCAGCGATTGCAGCCGGACTCGCGTCCAACATGACGTTTGGTTCTGCGCTTGGCTGGGCCGTGAGCGGCATATTTGGCGGCCTTGCTGGTGGCGATGTGCCCCGGCTCTCTACCGGTGGCGCAGTGCTGTGGGCATTGGTCGTCATGCCGGTGAGTGCTGTGGCACGATTGGTGGTGCTGCGGCAGGCGGCGGCCGCGCAAGTAGCGCTGATGAGTGTGCTGCGGGCACGGACTCTGGTGATCAGCGTCGTTGTTGTTGTAGGTGTGCTAGTTGTGGCAACGTGTCTCCTCCACGTGGCGCTGCTGGGTGGCAGCTCCCGGAGCGGCGAGCAGGCTGTCATGGCGTGCATCACTAACGCAGTTGGCCTCGACTACTCGAGTGAGACCCATTGGAAGAGCGTGCTCGCGCGTAGCATGGGTGCGGTCCTTGCAAGCCTGCCCGTGTCGAGCGCCGCGCTCGCGGGACTCGCAGCAATGGTCAGCCTGCTGACGCGCGGCACGGGCCAGCTTGTGGCGGGTGGCTGCGCCGCCATCGTCGTGGCAACGACCGTACTTGGAGCAGGGGTCATGACTCTACTGACAACGAGTCGCGACCCGTCAGCCACCGGCGAGTTTGGATCTGCGTTGGCGGTGGCGGCGCTGGCGGTGGTCGGGCTCGGCCCGGTCAACGCAATGCCGCAGACTGCCAGTATCCAGATCACGGCGGTGATCATCGCAGGTATGGCGGGTGTGGCGGGCGCGGCGTTGGTAGCAACTGCGCTGGCACGCGCAGTCTACGTCGACGGCGGACAGGCAATGGCGTGGTCGTGGTTGGTTCGCGGTAGCCCAGCTGAGCCGTACGCGGACGCCGAGGCGTCTTGCGGGCAATCTACGGTCCTGCCGTCGCGGACCGAGCCGAACACCGGCGAGAAAGCGGCTGTCGCTGGCCTGCGCGGTGTCATTAACCTCGACACGTACTCGACAGGCTCGTTTACAGACGAGAGCGCATACTCATGCTGAGCCCTGCGGCGCCGCGTCGTTGGCAAGCTCGGGCGGCAGCATGGACCAGTCGCAGAGGCCGGCAGCGGTAAAGGCACGGGCGGCGGCAATGGCAGCCGAGCGGAAGACCGAGCCCGGTAAAGCGGGCGCGGGCGGAAAGCGGGCGGATGGGACCGGTGGCGACGGCGGGACCGGGTAGGGGCCAAGGATCCGGGCGACGAGGTCGACGGCACCAGCAGCGGCAAGAACGTCGAGCCCGCCAGGAGTGGACAACAGTAGGGTGAGCATGTTGAGGAGCTCGGCAAGGAGTGGTGGGTGAACGGTGTTGGTTCCAACTACAGCGATGGAGCGAGCAACCGAGTCAGCGAGCGCCTGCTCAACAAGAACGGGCGAGAGGCCGAGGACCGCCATGAGCGTGTCGGCCACCACCATACGCTCTGGGATGGAGATCCGGGCCTGAAGGAGGGTGGCCAGCATGCGCGGCAGATGTAGGACATGAGCCTGGTCAATCAAGACAGAGAGGACATCGGCATCAGCCGGCGCCACGAGCCGGAGGCGCGACACAAGAAGGCCGATGGCGTGTGTGGCGGCGATCTGGACGGTCGGTGCGCGCGAGTGAAGAAGGAAACCAGCCAGGACAGGCACAACCGAGGTGGTGGTGACCATGACGCTGGCAGCTTTGAGGCCGAGTGAGAGCCGCTCGCGGACGGCGGTGACGAGGCGCCGGACAGCGGCGGCCGGATCGCCAGGACCGACCGCGCTGACCAGCGCGCTGGTGAGCGCAGTAGAATGACCCGACCGCGAGCTATCTTCAGAGCCTGCCAGTGACGAACTCGACAGCGAGCCGAGGAGCAGGCTTGACGGGCTCGATGGCGACGGCGGTGGAGCCAGCATGTTGGGATAGGCGGCAAAGAGCGCAAATGGCGCAGCGTCGAGCCGAGCGCCGGCGTCCCACACAAGATCAGCAAAGATCGAGCCCGGGCAGGCGTAGAGGGGGGTGGGCTCGATGGTGACCAACGGCGAGGATGGTGCGGGCAAGGTCGACGCTACAATGCTTGCGATCTCCGAGTGGACAAAATCGACGACCGAGGGGTACAGCGCGTTCTCAAACATCATGTACGATGATGCATCCGACGAGTGTAGCGAGCGCAGGCCGTTGTAGTGGCGGACGGCGCCCCCAGCATCGAGCAGTGAGACCGAGTACCCGCCCTCGGCAGCTTGCGAGACCGAGAAGCGGACAAGGAAAGTGCCTGGACCTGTACCGGCGGCATCGAGCACGGTCGCCGCCGCTGACGAGCTGATCTCGCCATGGAACCACGCGCATCCGCCGCGCTGCAGAAGATGTCGCAGGCGGAGGACGAGGACAGGCAGCGGGCCAAGCCATCGCACGACGTTATCGAAGCGAGCGCGGGTTACAATCGTGCCGACTGGTGCATTCTGTGAGCCACCGGTCAGGATCCTTGCCAAGGCCACCCCATCGGCCGGAGCAATGGCCAGCCCGGTGGCCGACTCGAGGGCAGCGAGGAGGACCGGCTCGAGCCTGGACCACAAGCCCGACTCGCTGCGACCAAACACGCTCCGCCACACAGCCTGGCCCGCCGCAAGCGCATGCGCAGGCGGAGGCTCAGCTGGTCGCCCCCTGCTGCTCCCCTCGATCGCCGCGCCGTCACCGGCCGATGCCGAGTCGCTTCCGCCGCCTATCGCCGCGCCGGCCTCGTCGCCTTGCCAGCCACCGAGGCCAAACAGGGCTGCTGCATCACCGTACTCGGTCATAGGGCCGTGCGAGAGTGTATATGCGTCTGTCTCTCTCTCTCTCTGTGTGTGTGTGTGTGTTGCTGGGTGGGTGGGTCTACTTGGCCTGCCTGGCCTGTCTTCACAACCACGGTACCGTTACTGGCTCGACCAGAGGTGACTGCCCGTCTCGCCGATTGAAAGGCCATATCGTTTGTTCATGCGTAATCGCTCATGAACACAATGCGTTCACAATCGTCCCGTCCCGTTCGAACCTCATCATAATCATTCACAATCGTTCGTTCATGCATTATGGCTAACTCGTTTCGTTCAACAGTAATCGCTCGTTCGGTAATCCCCAAAAAAGGGGAGCATTCCTTCCATGAAATCCTTCGCAAGTTCGGAAGAAGCAGCAACCAACACCAGCCGTGCCCAAAGCGGCGAGGTACAAAAGGTGACGATGATGGCGACATTCTCGGGAAATCCTAGCATCTTCCACACATACTTACATACATCTTGCTACACAATGGCAGCTGCTGAGACAGACGGACTGGTGAACGTGCTTAAGTTTGCGCTGCGGCGCAAGCCGGCCGCCGAGGTCGTCGACGTGGTCGATGGCGAGGTGACGGTGGACGACGGCATGGCAGGCATGGGCGATGCTGTGCTCATCCGTGGCTGCTCGGCGAGCCGGATCGTGGTCACTGCCCGCAAGGTTGCCAAGGTTGTCATCATGGAGTGCTCCGGGTGCACCGTCGAGGTGCGCTCGACTATCATCTCGGGTGTGTTGGAGATCATCTCGTGCCAGCAGATGGCGGTGGTGGCGGCCAAGGCTGGCGTCGGCGCCCACACGGTGACCGTCGACATGAGCGAGGATGTCACGCTTGCGCTGCCGAGCATGTGGGCCAAGACCGTGCCCAAGGCCATGGTTGCGTGCGGATCGAGCGCCCGGGTCGTCCTCGCCGTTGGGTGCAAGGAGCTCGATGCTGGAGCAGGCGCATCGGGCACGCTCGCCCTGCCGGATGGTGCAGGCTACGCCGTCCCGGACTCTGTCCCAACCGAGGCTGGGACAACCCACACACAGGTGGCGACGGTCCGGATCAAGGACCCCGAGTCTGGCGAGTGGAACCTGGTGAGCGAGGCCATGGTCCGCGAGGGCATCGGCCACGTGACAACGTCGACCCGGCTGGCGGCCGACACCGAGCGTCACCAGCGCAACACGGCCCGGCTCGCCGAGCTGATGGACAGGGTCATCCATGCCAAGGCGCCCAAGGCGCAGGCGACCGAAGCGTATCCCGAGCCGGCACCGATGGTGCCTCCGCCGCAAGCTCCTCCGATTGGCTCGCTCAACGCCGCCATCTCCAACTTTAACGCTGACTCGCTCCGCGAGACCGAGACGAGGGTGACAACAACAGCGGCGGTGATCGCCGCCGGTGGCGGTGGGCAGTACGGTCACAGCAAGGACGAGGACATTGTCGAGTACCGCGACGAGCCCGAGGTACTGGCGGCCAAGGTCGCCGAGCTGGCCGAGCTGATCAAGTCAGCGCAGCATGTGGTAGCGTACACAGGGGCCGGCATCTCGACGGCGGCCAAGATTCCGGACTACCGCGGCCCTTCGGGCGTGTGGACCATGGCCGCCAAGGGCCTCGCCGCCAAGTGTGAGATCCGGATGGACCAGGCAGTGCCGACAACAGCGCACATGGCGCTGGCAAGCATGCTCGCGGACAGTGACAACCCACTGCAGCACATCGTGTCGACGAACCTTGACGGGCTGCATCGGCTGTCGGGCGTGCCGCGGACCTCTATCTCGGAGCTCCACGGCAACTGCTACCTCGAGCGCTGCCGTGCGTGCGGCGTCGAGTATGATCGGCCGTTTGACACAACTGCCGCAGGCTGCCGGGCGGACCATAAGACCGGGCGGCGGTGCGAAGCCGAGGGGTGCGACGGCGAGCTGGTTGACTCGATCGTCAACTTTGGCGAGGCGCTGCCAGAAGACCAGTACGCGACGGCGCATGCAGCGTCGGCCGCTGGCGATGTTGCGCTGGTCCTCGGCACCTCGATGCGGGTGTCGCCGGCCTGCGATCTGCCGCAGCTCATCTTTGAGTCGGGCGGCGCGCTGGTCATTGTCAATCTGCAGAAGACACCGTTTGACAAGTTTGCCGCTCTCCGTATCTTCGCCACTTGCGATGAGGTCATGACCATGCTCGCCGACGCACTCGGCCACACCATTCCGCCGCCGCCGGTCTCGATGGCCAACGCCGCACAAGCAGCCGGGAACAACGATTGAACACTCGCGCTCTCAGATGTTAATCGAGGCCGCCGACTCGAGGAGCGGGCGAGTGGCCGGGAGCGGCGGCGAAGAGCGGACCATGGCGGTGATGATGCCGTGGCCGGTGATGGCAACAGCAGCGGCGAGCGTGACAATGGCAGCAAGCACGTAGTAGTCGTTGGTGTGGTAGCCGGCGTGAACGCCAGTGGCCTGGCCGATAGTGGCGAGGCCAAGGGCGACAAGGGTGTTGAGCGCAAAGACGACGGCGTAGTGAGGGTCGGCAACGAGCGGTGCGTCCGAATCGACGTCCGAGCCGCCGTGAACGCGGCCGATGGCATTGGAGGCGACGGCATACAGGCCGGCAAAGGCGGTGATGGCAGCAGTGTTGAAGGCAAACGAGTAGTAGACCGACGAGGTGAGTCGAGTCGACGCAAAGTAGCAGCCCGAGAGCAAGAGTGAGCCAAGGGCGGCGGTAGTCGAGGCCGAGGCCAGCGAGGCCGCGGCAAGGACCAGCGGGAGGCCCGAGGCGAGGGTCGAACCGGCTTCGATGATCATCTCCACAGCACCGTAGGCCTTGTCGTCGTGCGGGCGGATGTCGGAGAACTGAGTCTGGTAGTAGTTTCCGATGACGTAGTGGGCACCGTAGACCGCGATCCACCACAGCGACCATGCACGGACGACGGCGTGGTCGTAGAGGGCCGCAATGGCGGACAGCGCCGTGCGGAGGCCGCGGGCAAGCGAGAAGACCGACGGCGGCAGCGCAGCCCGCGGCGAGGGAAGGAGAAAAAGCGACGCTGTGCCACACGAGGTAAACAAAAGCGAGGCGTAGAAGAGATGAGCGAGCGGCGCGTGATGGACTCCGCCGTGGGCCGAGACGTACGCTTGGCCGGCCGCCGATCCGACGAGATTGCCAGCGTGCCAGGCTGCATGGACAATGCCTGTGACTGCGGCGTAGTGTTTGCGTGGGACGGCGATGTAGACGTAGGCAAAGTAGATGGTGTTGACAGCCGATGCGCCTGCGTACGTGACCTGAGCGGCGGCCATGGCCGGGACGCCCGAGGCAAAGAGAAGGAGATTACGGGTAGCGAGACGAAGAAGAGCACCAAGAAGAAGAACAGGCCATGGTCCGGCGATATCGGCCATGAGCGCCACCAGCAGAAGCCATGGTACGGCAGAGTATGTGTTCCATGGCCAGACAGAGGCATCCAGAGTATCCGATGTGAGTCCCTTATCGTTCTTGAGATACGCGGTGAGGTAAGGCTCAGACGGCTGGCAGTTGAACAGCAGGCCAGCCAATGCCATCCTCCCTGCATATATGGCCACTTCCCGAGCGCCTGGTCTCGCCTCATCGGCTGGAGTCGTCATCTGTGGTCCATTCACCGAAAAAGGGGCCTGGGGTTGACTCATTAACTCAATGAGTGGGTGGGGGTGGGGGTGGGGGTGGGTGAAGTGGTCCGTGCCCGAGACACGTGAACGCCAACCGGGGGCGTGCGTGTGCGGAGAAAACGCGTCAAGGTGGCGCGGCGGGGGAAGAGGGGGAGGGGATGTGGGGCAGACGAGCAGACAGGCAAGGCAGTCGACATGACCGCGGCGGAGAGCACCAGGTATTTGCCTGAAAGACATTTTTTACTCCTCGACGTAGGTCGTCTTGGTCTTGCGCGGGCCCTCGAAGGCGAGGCGCTCGGCCTTGGTCTGGAAGCGGCCGTGGCCCATCTTCGACGAGGTGTCGATGAACTTGAGCGAGACCTGCTCGGTGGCGGCACGGTTGGTCTGGGCAAAGAGCGACTTGCGGAGGGTGATGACGCGCTTGCGGACACCCGGGCAGTTACCCTTGATCATGACAAAGTCCTCGCGGACAACACCGTAGTGCGGGAAGCCACCCATCGGCGTGATCGACTTCTTGGTGATGTCGACGTCGGTCGAGGCGTTGTTGAAGACGCGGTTACCCTGCTCGTCGGTGTGGATGCCACGGCCGATGCGGTAGACCTTCTTGTTGATCTCGGTACGGTGGTGGAAGCCCTGCTGACCAGCACGCGCGACAGAGAACGACACGCGGGCGGGGTGCCAGGCACCGATACAGGCGACCTTGCGGAGACCACGGTGGGTCTTGCGCGGGAGGCGCGAGACGCCCCAGCGGGCAATGACGCCAGCGAAACCCTTACCCTTGGTGACGGCAATGGTGTCGATCATCTCGTCCTTGTTGAACACCTGGTCGACGGTGAGCGGGTTCTCGAGGAGGGTGCGCGCAAAGGCGACCTTGTCGGCGATCGAGCCACCGTTGATCTGGATCTCCATGATGTGGGCGGCCTTGAGGCGGAGCGAGGTGCGCGACGGCTGGGTGTGGGCGATGACGCGCACAACCTTGCAGTACTTCTCGATGCGAGCGCACTCGACGTCAAGGGACTTCTTGCCCGAGTTCATCTTGGCGGCATACTTGGTGAACGCCTTCTTCTTCGAGCGGTACCAGTTCTTGTAGAACCGGCGCTTGACCTCAGTCGAAAGCTCCTGCGCCCACACAGTGGTGAGGCCGCGGAGGCCGCGCGGGGTCTCGACGTAGCCGACAATGCCGATCACAACCATCGGGGGAGTCTCGATGATCGTCACAGCCTCGAGGACCTCCTTCTTGTGGATCTTCGAGCCGGGCTTGTCCATGTCGCGCACAATGTGCGTCATGCCGGCCTTGTAGCCCATGAACGCAGTGCAGTGCGGCGGGAGCGACGCATCGTCACGCGGGAAGCGGCGAATGCGCCCGCGGACGCGCTTCGCGCGCTTGCGCGGAAGGAACCCGAGCGACCCATGGCGGGGGGCAGAGAACTTACGGTGCGACACTGCAAGAGGGGGGGAGGGGGAAGGGGAAGGGGCGTGAGTGGTGGTGGATGGCGACAGTTCGATGATTATCCGAAAACGGCGCTGGCTGCTTTCCTGCGCCGACCCGACGACTCCAGTCGCAAAGCGCAAGCGTTGGAGAGAAGCACTACAGGTCATACATGCGCGGTGCGCAGCTGGTCCGGGCGGTGGTGGTTGGCGTGGCGGTGTTCTCACGCTCACCTCTCCATGCCTCGGGCAAGGGAGGGACCGAGGGGGGGATCAGACACTCGCCAAAAAAGCGCCGCCAAGATGATGATGAGCTCGACGGGAGGGGAAAGGGGGAGGACAGGACAGCGGCGCTCAGGGGTGGAAGCATGGCCACACAAGCTGGCAGAGCGGGAAGCAGCACGAGTGGCATGTGGTGGTCCTCTACAGGGTATGCAAGGAGTGGTAGGGGAGAGTATGGCCGGCCGAGGCGAGGCTCCGGCTGGGTGTCGAACAAAGGCAATTCGGTTTCGTACTTTGTTGAAATGTGCGAGAGGTGCCAGTGAAATAGTCGTCGCGCTCGCGCCGAACGAGCAAAAGTGAAAACAGGCGAGGTGGAGATTCGCGCGAGCTCAATTCGCTTCCACCGCCACCACCAGCAACCACCACACTCGCTCGTTTCGACCACACCTTCGTTGCCTGCAGGCATCGTATCCCGCCTGTTCGCGCCCATCGCTTCGTCCACCGCCACTTTCGCCTGCCCGCCGCGCCGTGCTCGGACGACTCGGCGAGCTGCAGGCCGGTTTTTGACAGAGTGTAGCGTGAGAAAGTGGGAACGGCCCGTCTCTGTAGCTTGTCGTGTGAGGGAGCATGCCGAGTGCGCGCCACCGAGGGCCGGCAGGTGAGCCAGTGGTGTCGTCGCCTGGGCGAGGACCACGGGCAGCGCCGCAAGTGCGTCGACATGCAATGGCTCTCCACATACCGCCGCAGCCGATGATGGTTGTTGTGCCGGGTGTGATGGGCCCAGTTGTCGTTCCGCTCATTCCTCACGCTCTGCGTCAAGGCCTGCACCCGCCCGCCGCCCGAGTCTATCCGGCCCTGCCACTCCCGCCTCTGCCTGCGCATCTTCCAGCGCACGCGGCGCTCCCCATCCCGGCTGGCTACGGGCAGCAGGCGCATGGTGGGCTGCGGCGGCATGCCGCAGGCTGGCGGCGGCAGGCACGCGCTCAGGACAAAGCTGACGACGGCCAAGCAGCGTCGCCGCGCCGGCAGGCGGTGAGCGATCGCGGACGGGCACGGCTGCCAATGTATGGGCCCGGGCTTGGAAGGCACGCGCCGCTGCCGGTGCTCCCGCTGTGGGCGCGGCCGAGAGCGGCGGTGCGAGGCCTGCCGCGAGCGCCGCCGCAGTGGGTGGCAGCTACCCCACTCCGTCGAGCATCGGCCGCCGGCACTGTCCACTCGCTCGGCTGGTCACCGCCGCCGACTACCCTCCGTCGCCGGCCGCGCCCGCGATTCGCAGCATCGGCGCCCGCCTCGCCGGCAGACTCGTTCCTCAGCTCAGGCTGGTCATGGAACTCAGACTATGCCGCTTCAACCTTTCACGTCAATCCGTTCTACACCACCAACTCGCTCACCGGCTCGCGGCCCTCGACTCCCTTGTTTGGCGGCGCCATGTGGGTTCCATGACCGTCGCCAACTCGGGCCCCTCTGCCCACGCCGCCACGCACCGCCCCACCAAACCCCTCGGACCCGCCACTGCGGTCACCACCATGATCTCCATCATCGTCAACCGCCGAGAGGACCGGCTGCGGCCCACGTGGCTCCATCCTAACTACCATCGATCAACCATGGACATCCGGTCGAGTATGAGTGAGCATACATAAACCTGCGAGTGGGCATGAGGAAGCAAGCCCTTGTCAGCGTGAGAGTGGGCGAGGGAGGAGCAGTGCGGGTGATCGTGTGTCGGGTGATCGTCGTGTGTCGGGTGATCGTGTGTCGGGTAATCGGGGCGAGGCTGACGGGCCGAGGGGAGGGGACATTCATTGATTCATGCAAAGGAGAACAAGTCAATTGAAAGGAGTGGGGGGGAAGGGAAGAGGGGGGGGCGGCACGGGGGGGAAAGGGGTACCTCACGCTCAAGAGCTTGGTACACTTGTACTAGGAGACACACAAGAGAGCGAAGAAGTTGTGGAGATATAGTTATGTTTGCGCTCTTCCGGACAGGCATGGTTGCACAGGCTACCGGCCGACAGGCCCTGTCGGTGGCGGCTATGTTGTCGGCCAAGGCGACGTCGGTCGTGCCTTCCTCGCCAATGACCGAGACGGAGGAGAGTGAGACGCCTGGTACTGCTGCTGCGGCTGCTGTCCGCGCTGCTTTCACAGACATGGACGTTGAGCGTGGACAGCATCCTGTTGTCGGTACGTCATAGCCATCAGCAACCCGTGGGCCATGCCTGGTCCCGCCGGGAGGCGTGCGCGGCAGGGGCGGCTGGATGCGAGGCGGGATGGGCATGGCCAGGGGAGAGAGGGGGCGATGACTCACACACGGGGGTTGATGCTGGCGATGGAGACAGGTCGCGCGTGGAGTGCATCGGAGCTGCGGCTCAAGTCGCTGGAGGAGCTGCATGCTCTGTGGTTTGTGCTCCTCCGCGAGCGGAACAAGCTCAACTCGGAGCGCGAGGCCGCCCGCTCACAGGTCCGGCCCATGGCCGCCCCTCATCGTCTGGAGAAGACCCGCAAGTCCATGGCTCGCATCAAGCGTATCCTTGGTGAGCGCTCTCAGGCCGTCGAATCCGCCCGCCTTCTTCTCCGCCAGCGTGCTGATGCCAAGCGTGAGCTCCAGTCCCGCATCGATGCCGTCCGCGAGGCCTTTGTGGCCGGCACCGCTCCGCAACAGCCATCTGTCTAACCGCTAGCATACCCCCCCCCCCAAACACATCCCACATGCATGTGCGATCTGTAGTTGGTGTGCCCCCCCAACCAGCTAGCCCAGCCCAGCCCAGCCCGCCTAACCGCTTCCAGCCCAATCACGGCCAGCCAGCGCCCCCCCTCCCTCTTCCTACGGCCGAGCCAACCGCCACCTACCGACATCACCACCTCACTCCATCCAAGCACAGTCAGCATGGACGAGCCGGTGGACATCCGCCGTGAGATGAACTACGGTCTTGTCAAGGTATGTGCTAGGGTAGTGGTACTGGTGGTGATGCTGGTGGTGGTGGTGGTGGTGGTGGTGGTGGTGGTGGCGGGTGAACGGGAACGGGGGGGGAGGGGGCCGTATGGCTGATTTTTGGCGCCGTGGGGCAGGGGCAGGGGGGGGGGGTAGGGGGTAAGGGGGGGGGGGGGGATTAGGGGAAGGTGGTGGGGAAGTGGGGGTAGAAACGTCAAAGTTGGTATGGTGGATGGTGACTATGGTGACTGTGGGTACGGTGGCTGCTGCTTGCTGCTGCTTGCTGGTGTCTTGCTGTTGGCGGTCGGTCGTGTGCTGTGTCGGTCTCCACACCCCCCCTTCTCCCCCTCCGCCCCAGCTGATGATGATGTGGTACCTGTGTCTCTGCTGGCTTGAGAGTGGATGCTATGGGTACTGTGATGTGATCCTTGCCTGGGTGCTCATCACGACTCGCCCCGGCGACATCACAGGCATGTTGATGATGTCAACACACTCACTCACTCGCTCACTACCCATGACAACAGCACTCGGATATGAACGAGGACATGCGGCTGGACGCTATGGAGTCGGTCATCACAGCACTGGAAAAGTTCAACAACCAGTACGACTCGGCGGCGAGGATGATCACCGATGTCATGGACAAGCGCTACGGCGCATCCTGGCACTGCATCATCGGCCAGGGCTTTGGCTTTGAAGTCACCTATGAGGTCCAGCATCTGCTGCATATGTACCACGGCGGCAATCTGAGCGTCCTTCTCTACAAGGCCTCGTGAGCCTGCGACTTTCTCCCTTGATCGCCCTCGCTGCCCGGCTGCACGACTTTATCTGTGGTCGGCTGGCAGTGTGTGTGGCTGACGGCGCTGCCGCCGCATCTCGCACGCACATCTCCCCGCGGCAACGCATGCCCCGTGAACGGGCCGCGCTGCCACTTTCAGCCCTCGGGCCGTGCTGCCGCTCTCGGCATGCTGGCGTAAACACATCACAGAGCCTCCTGCAGCAAGCCAATGACAGCCTCGCGCGGGACGTCCATCGTTCCGGCAAAGACTATCGAGATCGCAGAGGCCGACATACGGTTGCTGGCCTCATGGGCCACAACCGCTGCCAGGTGCCTCGCCAGCCGCTTGAGCAGCGCGTACGCCTCAAACGGGATTGCAGCTTCGAGCAGCTCCCATCGTGCACCCGTGCCATCGTTGTCGCTGGTCAGGATTCGTACCGCGTCGTCGTTGATGAGCGGCTCGGGCAGCGCGCGGATGATGTGCTTGACTAGTGAGGCAACGGTGTGCACGCACGGCAGTGTGATGAGCACAGTCTCACCGTCGCGGACCACAGCGTCGGTCCCGCTATCGGTCGCACTTGCCGGATCAACCAAAAACTGGACCCGCGCTCCAGCAAGCATCTGCGGATCGAGGGCGGCGAGCGCCTGCTTCCGCTGCCTGATGTATCCGTTGATCCGAAACAGGCCTTCCTCGTCTAGCGCGTTAGCCTCAACAAAGTCGAGCGCAGCAGCGAGGAGCTCCGGCACACCAGGTTGGGCCTGCGATGGGTTGATCGCGACCACGACCGCCAGCGGCAAGCCGCTTATGGTGGGCAGCCGATCATCGCCGCTGGTGCCGCTTGCGCCGGCAACCTCGTCACTTGTGCCAGGATGCGATGGTCCGAGGCCAAAGGCAGTCGCCATCTCGACAAACCACTCGTACGCCTGCTCAACGAGCGCCTGCCAGATATTGTCGTTCTGCGCCACGTCCGGCTCGCCTGAGCCTCGGTCACCAAGACCAGCAGCTGCAGGCACGATGGCGAGCGCGAGGCATGAGCGTGGGATCCAGCCGATGTCTGGGTGCGGCTCAAGCGGGTAGCGACCAGCGGCGGCCTCGCCGGCAAGAGATAGCGAGCGTGTGACAAGGATGTATGACGATGTGTGTGCGGCAGTAGGACGAAGCCAGGAAGGAAGTGTGCCGGCAGCAGGCGGTGGAGGCAGGTGCAGTTCTTCGCCGACGGCACATGCGAGTGTGTACTCGAGAGTTGCCGAGTTGTAGGCCCAGCCGGCGCGTGTCGTCCTTCCGGGCGGTACCGCGGACATAGGTTGAGAGTATGTGAGAGGAGAAGGTTGGGAAGGGGGAGGGGGAGGGGGGGGAGGTGGGGTGGAGTGGTTGGGGGAGGGGAAAGACGGTGTCACACTTTGGGACGGCGCGGCTCGGCCGGAGCAAACACGGTGATTAGGGGAAAGAGGGGAGAAGAGAGAGGACAGAGAGAACAAAGGTGTAAAGGCTAGAAGAGTTTGACGGGCTGCGTCGATGCTCACGCGCCGACGACAGCAATCAAGACAGAAGGGGCAAACAAGTTACTCCTGCTGGGCGGGAGCACCGTAGCCGTAGCCGGGGTACTGGCCGTAGCCGCCGAACTGCTGCTGCGGGAAGCCGCCGAACTGCTGCTGCGGGAAGCCGCCGAACTGCTGCTGCGGGAAGCCGCCGAACTGCTGGCCGTAGCCGCCGAACTGCTGCGCCTCGTAGCCGGAGCCGTCAGCGACCGGGTAGCCGCCAAACTGCTGCTGCGGGAAGCCGCCGAACTGCTGCGGGAAGCCGCCGAACTGCTGCTGCTGCGGGAAGCCGCCGAACTGCGAGAACTCGCCGCCGAACTGCTGCTGCTGCGGGAAGCCGCCGAACTGCGAGAACTCACCGCCGAACTGCTGCTGCTGCGGGAAGCCGCCGAACTGCGAGAACTCGCCGCCGAACTGCTGCTGCTGCGGGAAGCCGCCGAACTGCGAGAACTCGCCGCCGAACTGCTGCTGCGGGAAGCCGCCGAACTGCTGCTGCGGGAAGCCGCCGAACTGCTGGCCGTAGCCGTAGCCGGGGTAGCCGCCAAAGCCGAAGCCAGGGGCGACCGACGAGGCCTTGGACGACTTGGTCGACTTGGACTTCTTCGACGACTTCTTGGACGACTTGGACGACTTGCCGGACTTCTTGGACGACTTCTTGGACATGATCTGCAAATGCCCCAAAGTTGTTGGTGAGCTAATGGCTGGCTTGCCTTGCTGCGCACGCGTCAGCGTGGGATATGGGCTGTTGGCGAGCGAAAAACGGTCGCAAGAAAAAAAAAAAGGCCTTTCCACAGGTCGCTGTCGGTTGTCCCGCACCACACCCCCTGGCAAAGCGGCAACACCAGCTGCTGCTCGCCCCCCTCCCCCCCCCCACACCTGCTACCGCAACCGCCGCTACAACCGGCACCGCCAGCAACGTCCCGTCAGTGTCAGGGCGGAGGCCGCTCGGCTTCGCCCACAAGACCGCTCCGCTCGCCGCGCGGCGCGGGTCGTGTGCATCCACACTATACTGGGCGCCCACTCTTGCTAAAAAGCCAGGCCTGCTTCGCAA